TGTTGGTGGATGGTGGTTAGGGGTAGAAGGTGGGTGGTGGGTGGTAAATGATAGGTGGTGAGTGGTGGTGGTGGTGGGTGGTGGGTGGTGGTGTTGCTGGATGGTGGTTATGGGTAGAAGGTAGGTGGTGGGTGGTAAATGATGGGTGGTGAGTGGTGGTGGTGGTGGGTGGTGGTGTTGGTGGATGGTGGTTATGGGTAGAAGGTGGGTGGTGGGTGGTAAATGATGGGTGGTGAGTGGTGGTGGTGGTGGGTGGTAGTGTTGGTGGATGGTGGTTATGGGCAAAAGGTGGTGGTGTGTGGTAAATGATAGGTGGTGAGTGGTGGTGGTGGGTGGTGGTGTTGGTGGATGGTGGTCACGGGTAGAAGGTGGGTGGTGGGTGGTAAAAGGTGGTGGTGGTGGGTGGTGGGTGGTGGTGTTGGTGGATGGTGGTAATCGGTAGAGGGTGGGTGGTGGGTGGTAAATGATGGGTGATGAGTGGTGGTGGTGGTGGGTGGTAGTGTTGGTGGATGGTGGTTACGGGTAGAAGGTGGGTGGTGGGTGGTAAATGATAGGTGGTGAGTGGTGGTGGTAAATGATAGGAGGTGAGTGGTGGTGGTGGTGGGTGGTGGGTGGTGGTGTTGGTGGATGGTGGTTATGGGTAGAAGGTAGGTGGTGGGTGGTAAATGATGGTTGGTGGATGGTGAGTGGTGGTGGTGGATGGCGGGTGGTGGGTGGTGGTGTTGGTGAATGGTGGTTAGGGGTAGAGGGTTGTTGTGGGTGGTGGGTGGTAAGTGATGGGTGGTGAGTGGTGGTGATGGGCAGTGGGTGGTAGTTTTGGTGGATGGTGGTTACGGGTAGAAGGCGGGTGGTGGGTGGTAAATGATAGGTGGTGAGTGGTGGTGGTGGATGGTGGATGGTGGGTGGTGGTGGACGGTGGTTACGGGTAGAAGGTGGTGGTGGTTGGTAGTGTTGGTGGATGGTGGTTATGGGTAGAAGGTGGGTGGTGGGTGGTAAATGATGGGTGGTGAGTGGTGGTGGTAGATGGTGGGTAGTGATGTTGGTGGATGGTGGTTAGGGGTAGAAGGTGGGTGGTGGGTGGTAAACGATAGGTGGTAAGTGGTGGTGGTGGTGGGTGGTGGGTGGTGGGTGGTAGTGTTGGTGGATGGTGGTTATGGATAGAAGGTGGGTGGTGGGTGGTAAATGATGGGTGGTGAGTGGTGGTAGTGGGTGGTGGGTAGCGGTATTGGTAGATGGTGGTAGAGGGTGAATAGTGCTGGATGGTGGGATGTGATGGAATTGGTTTACCATCATGTCTTTTTTTTTTTTTTTTTTTTTTTTTTTTTGTTTTATTTTTTTTTTTTTTTTTTTTTTTTTTTTGAGATAGAGTCTAACTCTGTTGTTCAGGCTGGAGTTCAGTGGTGTGATCCTGTCTCACTGCAACCTCAGCCTCCGAGTTCAAGCAATTCTCCTGCCTCAGCCTCCCAAGTAGCTGGGATTACAGATGCCCACCCCACGCCCGGCTAATTAGTGTATTTTTAGTAGAGACGGGGTTTCACCATGTTGGCCAGGTTGGTCTGGAACTCCTGACCTCAAGTGATCCGCCTGCCTCAGCCTCCCAAAGTGCTGGGATTACAGGCGTGAGCCCCTGTGCCTGGCCTGCCATCACTTCTGACTTCAATCATTTCTTCATTTTGTACCACAAAGATATGAATGGCAAATAGGACATTCCTTTGAGATAACTGCATTTCTTTGAGATAATTGAGGATGATTAGAATGGTGGTTTCCAGAGCCTGGGGGAGCGGAATATGGGGAGTTGCTGTTTAATGAGTATAGAGTTTCAGTTCTGCAAGATGACAGAGCTCTGGAGATTTGCTGCACCACAGAGTGAATATACTTAACACTATTGAACTACCCACTTAAAAGCAGTTCAGACTGTAAAATCTAAGTTACAGTAATTTTACAATTAAAAATTGAAAAATAATTTTTTAAATGGAGGATGCTTATTACCTGAAAAGAAACTTTGCATAGCGGTACAAAAAGATTGTGTACAATATCGACAAGCAAAAACAATCAGGCAGTGTGTGGCAGATCACAACAATCACATGTTGTGTGGCAGATGGGGGCAGGGAGTTGTGGATATTTGGAGTCAAAGGACTAGATGGAGGCGGGCCAGAAGTACTTCAGTGCCTGTTTCTTGTGTTAGCCACTTCTTGTATAAAAACAAAATAGAACATGAAGAAAATTCTTTCCCTCCTTACACATTCTTCCTGTCACCTTTCACTTCACAGATGATCCAAATCATTGCTATTCAGTGCGGGAAATAGATCAGCAGCGTCAGCATCACCTGGAGCTTATTAGAAATTCAAAGTCTCAGTTCCCACCCCAGACCTCCTGAATTAGAGTTTATCGAGGACCCAGGTGATGCCCACACACCACTGGCGCATACTGCTCTAAGTGCTCCTGCTTTCCTTCCACCTGCATAGCACTCACTGTGGGTGTGTATGTGACAGGCAAACATAGTCACATGCTGCCATCAAAGAAATGAAAGCATCTTCCAGAAAACAAAATCAGCTCTTATTAGAGCTTTGACTCAAAGGATGTAAAATCAAAGGATGAAGTAAGCATTCCAGATCTGAATTGCAATTGCAGTTCTGTTGGCTGAGAATCTGTCAGCAAATCACTTCATTTCACTAGAACTCTGCTTCTTCGTTTATAAAATAGAGATAATAGTCTCTGCAAGATCTACACTGGGGGCTGATATAAACGTTTGGTGTGAGAAGAGGATATCAGAACACTCTGGGCTGGGTGTGGTGGCTCACGCCTGTAATCCCAGCACTTTGGCAGTCTGAGGTAGGCAGATCACAAGGGAAGGAGTTTGAGACCAGCCTGACCAACATGATGAAACCCAGTCTCTACTAAAAATACAAAAATTAGCTGGGCATGGTGGCGCACACCTGTAATTGCAGCTACTCAGGAGGCTGAGGCAGGAGAATCACTTGAAACCGGGAGGCGGAGGTTGCAGTGAGCCAAGATCGTGCCACCGCACTCCAGCCTGGCGACAGAGTGAGACTTCGTCTCAAAAAACAAAACAAAACAAAACAAAATACTCTGAAAGTATGAGATGCTCTCAGAAGTATAAAAAATATTAATAATGTTTGGGTGTGTATAAATGCTCATGTAAAATAATCTTAAATCAATGCGAATACATTTCATTGAAGTTATGGGTGTATGTGTATAGATACTCTCTATATAGGATGTATATGCATACATATATACTATATGCACATATGTATGTGCATATGTGTGTTTATTCTCTCAGGAGTAGACTAGAAATGAATGAATGACTCTTATAAGTTAAGTTTCTGAAGTACAATAAATTATGTAAGTTCTTGCAGGAGCAAGAAACTGGTGCCCAAATCCTCTATGAAATGAAGCAGGTAGAGAGTAATCTATCTATATTTATTAAACAATGTCACAAAAAACATGGATAACATTTAGAGTCCAGAGAGCACCTCATTTCTAGGATACCGTGGGGGAGAACCTCCCTTTATGCTCCACCACTCTCCCGAGTGACAAGAAGAGAAAAATAAACGCTGGCTCTCGGTGGAGAGAATCATATCGTTTATTGGTTGAGAGGGCACACACAACCTTTGAAGTCAAGGAGACCCAGGAGCAAAGCCTGATCCTCTTCAGCTGTGTGACCCTGGCCAAGTTACCACCCGGCTGTGTTTGCTTCACCTCTGTGAAACAAGGGCAATAATCTGCCGACCTCCCAGGGTTACTATGGGAGTTAACTGACATGACATGTGAGATGCTTGGCATGATGCCAACATGTGATAAACCCGCATTACATGTTAGCTATTATCACCATTATCCACTTCAAAGAATGTGGTCTGTATGTCAACCCCTTCTACCCAAAGTGTACAGTTGGGAGAAAGGAGCATATTGAGAGAAATTCTTCATACACACACACTCCTGATGAGGGTGAGTGAGGATGAGAAAACCAGCCAGCACAGAGCAGAGAGTAAGGTTCAATGTTGAACTGTCACCATATTGTACACTTGCCTCTTGCCAAGCATATGCACTTAGAACAAAGGCTTACCACACTGTCAAGAGAGGGCGATTGATAAGGTAGTCTTTTCTACATTCCCCAAGGAATCTGATCGTTAAAGCAAGGCTGTACCTTCCCTGTCTTCTTGAATTGTTTCCTCTCCTCCGCTGTAGTGAGGAAGTTCACAGCTGCATACTCAATGACTGACAGAAACACGAAGACGGAGCTGACCCAGAGGTACACATCCACAGCCTTGAGGTAGGACACCTGGGGCATGGAGGCGCCCACAGCCGTGATGATCGTGGACATAGTCAGCACTGTGGTGATTCCTGCCATTTGAGAACAGTGACAAGCTTAGTGACAACCATTCACTTCCAGGATCTGGTGCTGAATTACACCAGGGGTGCATTTCCTAGAACAATATCAATCTGGGGATCCAAGAGGAGGGAAGGTGTGTACACTGACCAAGTATCTATCTCAAGCCAACAAGACACTCATTGGGTTTTTTTTTTCTGTCGTTTTTTCTTGCCCTCACCTTTACAGAAGGATTTTTTCCCTCCATTTAAAGACTTCACAGAGACCAGACTCTGACATTTCTATTTTCTATCCTCAGATGGGCCTCTTCTAAGCATCCCAGAAAGGTAAACATGTATTCGATTTAAAAAACTCTAAAATCATTTCCTCCAACCTCTCCTACTGCTTCATAATTTTTACTGTTCATAACCTGTCTTTATGTCTACCTGTAATATTTCATGTTTCCGGGGAGCTTATTTCTTCTCGAGTGATCTTTAGTAGCATTCAAAATTGCTATTCTCTATATTATCCTTTCACAGAGAATACTTTAAAAGTCGTTGTTATTCTCTTTGTCCTTTGTTAATGAAGCTACAGTTCCATTGATTCTGAGTGTAAGTGTGCTAGTGGGGGTTCATTCATCGTAAACATTCACTGAGCAACTGCTGAATTCCAGTCACTTTTTCCCTTGCACCCCCTTCCCCGTTCCCCTCCTTTCTCCTCCCTGCCCCTCCCCACTTCCCTTTTCTTCTCTTCCCTTCTTCTCTCCTTCTGTTACCTTCCCCCTTCCCTTTCATTTTTCCTCCCTCTTCCTTTTACTTCTTTGTTCCCTGGCCTGATCATCAGAGCTAAGAAGATCAAGGTTCTGGGGGGAAATGGAGGAATAAGTGACTCTGAGATTTCCTTAATAAAATGCTGGCCATGGGGAGGGCCATTCCATGTCTACATTTATTTCTCAGAGGGATATTGCAAGAGTGCCGCCTGGAGAGAAAGCATACTATTGTAAATATCTGAAATGTACACTGGCTGGCATGGTTTTATTTCTTAATTTCCCACCAGGGAGGTGCAAATGGAATCCTTAATGATTTTTATAAGTTGTGAGGACATTTTAATGTCAACAGACAGAGTCCCAAACAGCAGGAAGAGCACTGTGATTTACTCCTAAATGTACAGCCACAGCATGTGGGCTGCTTTCACCAACACATTCTATCCTTTCTGTAATAATTCTGTGAAGCTCTCATCTGAGAGAGCCCCATATCAAACACAGTAACAATTCTTTAGAGTCATTCTATTTCAAACAAAGTTTTTAGTTTGTATGATCAAGATCGACACAACTTGGCAATTGGACAGTACTATGGGAGGACCTGGACTCTCACCTTCACACCGATTTGAACTCCAGAATAAGAAACCTAAATGCTATTCCAGCTCTTAACATTGAACACAGGCCACTACCTCATCGAGTCCCAGGTCTCCCCCAACAATGGTACGATCAACAGTCTGCCTATCAGAGGGTGATGTCTGCATTCTCTGGCTGTAAAACACTTCCTACACAAACACGAAGCAAGGAATGAACTTGAAGCATGGAATTTTATTAAGCATGGAATTTCTATTAACATTACAGGCATAGCAGAAGCCAAGATTATTAAATAAAACCTGCTTACTTTTATCAAATATTTACCCATCACACATCTAGGTAAATAATTAGGCACACATTGCAGAAAAGAAATAAAAGCTGAGAGTGGCAAAGGAATTACCTCGTATGTCAGAGCAGAATGCAAATTCTGTTCAGAGTGCAGAATTATGCCAAGAGGCAATGCCTTACTGTCTCCAAGATTTCACTGGCAGGAAGTGAAGGAATCATGAACTAATATTCCCACTCAGTGCTAACCTCATTTGTTTGAAAAATTTTTAATGTCTTCTCTTACCGGTTTTCTAAGATAGAAAAGATAGAACCAAACGTTTTCCTCAATGTACAGTAATATGGAGCTTAGTGGACGAAATAAGAGTTTAGAACAAACACACAAGTTTGTGTTTGGTCTCGTCATGTATTTGAAATTGATAACTACCAGGCAAATAAAAAGGAATTGCACTATCTATATTTGCCAGAGAGCAATAAACCATTAATCATTTTCTTTAAAAGGGTACTTAGTCCAACTAATTTATTATAGCTTTATTTATTTTAAAACCAGCATTCTGGATTTTCCTTCTTTAAGATGAGCAATAAAAAAAAAGGATTAGAGTGGAGAGGAGTGATTGTTAGGTAGGGGGAGTGAATAATGAGAAAACTGAGATATAAATTCCTGGAGCAATAGAACTTGAAGTCAGGAGTATTATAGCTACATTAAATACACTTATTATGTCTTGAGCCACCCCTCAAAGATACATCAATCTTGACAAATAGTAGTCCTTCCAAACCCATTAAAGTTAACATCCCAATAAAGGAGTTTTGAATTATATGAAGCAACCATTTAGTCGAAGGAAGCTCATGTGTTTGGATTAGAAAATTATCTTCCCCCACTACTGATGTTGCTATGCATAGTTAGCAAAGTGCTGTGAGAAAATATTTAGTCTGACCCTTTGACTCAACTCCTCTGAGCTCTTGCAGCTTCACCATATTAACTTTTAAAAACATGCATGGGGTCTTAAGAACACTTTAGTCTGGGGAGAATTACTAATCATTCCGTTTCATTGGCTATTTTTAGCCATGCATGGTGGAGAGTTTCATTGACTGGTATGACAGCGGTAGGGCAGACAGGCGTCACTTATGACACCACTGAGTTCACCCCCTCAATAACTGTGTTGCAGGTGGTTCTTTTGGAGGGAGGGGGTGTTATATTCACCTTCAAGTGAGTAAATATATTTTTCATATAGGCCTAGGCAGAAAGAAAATGTTACATGATATGAAGGAAAGGAAGGTGGCCTGACATTCCAACATTAGTCTATGACCAGAAACTGATAACCATTTCCCATGAAGGTGGTATAAGAGTACGAATAAGTGTAACTAGAAATTCTGGTATCTCTGTGATGGTTAAATGAACTGCTCTTATCCAGCTCCTTAAGGATTCCCTTTTTTAAGCATATAGGGCATATCCTCTGTTAGGAGATGATTTTTCTCTGAGAGTAACTACAGGTCTGAAAGCCGCCTCTGCCGTATCTGTTTTCCAGTAAATGAGCCCACTACTTAATGCATTCTGTAGAGAATGGAATACCTCATGCATAGGGATCAAGCAAGGATGATGGAGGCAAGAAAAGGAGGAGAAAGTGAAAATGAGAGGAGAAAGTATAATATTTAAATATCCTTGAACAACTTCATAATTGTCTCACATTCTCTCCATACCAAATTGAATGGAGAGACATAATAGTATTTTTGACCCATCATGCATTCCAAGTTATGGTAGCTGTTATCTCTTATGAGAATTGCCTAATCACAGTGCATACTTTTTTTTCTTTTTGGAGACAGTCTCACTCTGTCACCAGGCTGGAGTGCAGTGGCACCATCACAGCCCGCTGCAACCTCCGACAGATATTTCATCTGTCAACCTTTAATTCAGGCGGTTCTCCTGCCTCAGCCTCTTTAGCAGCTGTGATTACAGGCACACACCACCACGCCCAGCTAATTTTTTTTTTTGAAATGGTGTCTCACTCTGTCGCCCAGGCTGGTGTGCAGTGACACAATCCCAGCTCACTGCAACCTCCGCCTCCTGGGTTCATGCGATTCTCCTGCCTCAGCCTCCCTAGTAGCTGGAATACAGGCATGTGCCACCACGCCCGGCTAATTTTTTGTATTTTTAGTAGAGACGGGGTTTCACGGTATTAAGTTTCACGGATGGTCCTGATCTCCTGACCTCTTGATCTGCTCTCCTCAGCCTCCCAAAGTGCTGGGATTACAGGTGTAAGCCACCGCACCCCACCAAGAATTGCCTAATCACAGTGCATACTTCTAAATGCTAAGCACCCTCTACTGTTCTTTACCTGAAGCATGGCAAATGTGGGAGGGTCTTCACCAGCATATGAGTCACCCTTTATTGTTTCCAGTTAGCAACTGAAAATATGCTGGACTAAACACCGGCAACCTAACAACTACGAATTGAACATGAAGTACGTGCAGGAGGACACTGCGCTACCCACTGAAGGAACAACAAAAATGGTAATAGTGATCCTTGTCCTTACGGAGCTCATATGCTAATAGAGGTCGAAAGACAAGCCACTCCTGCCCCACAGCAAAACATGAACTAGAGGAAGTAAGCTACTTAGGAGATACACAAAGGACCGTGGGTTCAAAGATGAGAGTGACCATGTGTGCTTGGAGTCACCACTAAAGGCTTTCAGCCATGTAGAGATGGAAGGATTTTGACAGAAAAAAACAGGTGGGGAGGAGGAACCAATCACAATACCAAAGGACACAATTCCAGATTCCATAATCCCAAATGTTGAAATCCCCAAAGATCAAAATCTCTAAAGTCTAAAATACTAAAAATCACAATCTTGAAAGATCAAAATCCTGAAAATATTGTTCTAAAAATAATTTTGAAAAACGTAAAACCTATTTATATTTTAAAAAGGTAATTTATTTGAGAAACATAAAAAAATAACACTTCATAAGCCACTTTACACAGTAGAATAGGCAACAATAAAACACGTATTTCTGTAAGCATAAACAGGTATACTGACTACAGTTGCAGAGGTACAGCTGTTATGGGCAGATGAACCATACTGATGCAGAAACAGGTCAAAAGGGAAACATACAAATGCGTATCACTACAGTGGGTCATTGTGGGTACCCGGCTTTGTAACTGTGGTCATCTGAAACACCGTGATGGGCAACCTAAGTCTCTGAGGATTGATCAAAAACCATGATGGTCACCACATATGCAGTCACCCAAAGAGCTGAGATCTCATGAAATTTTATCTTTCACAAATGCAGATGTACAAAAATGACATGTCTTCATTTATTGAGAAAGTTTCAACATTTTTACATACATGCACAATACTTACAAAGCTAATGTGATAATGCACTTTGAGGGAGCTAAATTTGCAAAAAGGCTAATACAAATTAGAACTCCCTAATAGTCTAACTTTATATCTCCACTACTAGAAATGATGCAAAGATAAAATATATAGCATAGCAAATTATAGGAAAAAAAAAACAAAAAAAAAAAAAAAGAAAAAAAAAAAAAAAAAAAAAAAAAAAAAAAACAAAAAGAGACCAAAAACTAAAAAGAAAATTTCATGTATGAGGCAGCGATAAGCTATAGGCAATTGCATGAAGATACTGCCCCGAGGACTGGCCTAACATGGTACAATTATCCTGTGATTGTGATTTTTGAGATTTTAGACTTTAGGGATTTAGACTTGAGGGATTTTGATCTTTCAGGATTTCAACATTCAGGATTATGGCATTTGGTATTGTGTCTTTTGAGATTATGATCCAAACCAGTATAATGAATTATGTAAACATTTGGAAGATCTGAATAACTCAGTGAACAATATTTTCCAAACAACCAATGCATCAGGGAAAAATCTATTCAAAGTATAAGGTAGACCAATGGATTCTAATCTAACAGAGTAGAAAATATTTGTTGACATGGTTTCAGATAGCACACTATAACTAAACTTTAAGAAACTATCACTTGCTGAGTTTTGGTGTCATGTGAAGGGAGGCTATCTGGAAAGACTATTATGATACTACTCCTTTTTCAAACTATGTATCTGATGAGGCCAGATTTCTCCCTATATTTCAACCAAAACCTATTGCAATAGCATAAATGAAGAAACAGAGATAAAAATCCAACTGCCCTCTATAAAGGCAGACATTAAAGCTTTGCAAAAATGTTTTAAAATGCCACTCTTCTCACTAAACTTTTTGTTTTAGAAAAAATAATTATGCTTCATACAATATGTTATGTTAACTTACAATGAGTTGATTATTCCTAGCTTTAAGTAAATTAACACGTTTTCAAATTCTATTTTAACATCTAATATGGCTAATAATGATAGACGTGACCCACAGCAGCAAAAGCTCTCGAGGGTCCTCATTAGCTTTGAAGAGTGTAAATGGGTCCTAAGGCCGTAGTTTGAGAATCACTGCTAAAGATTAAGAAGGAAATTGAGGTTTCAGATATGAAAGGCTCAACAAACCAGAGGCCCTGAAGAGAATGGGGAAGTAAAGAGAATAAGTGAAGAGAGTAAGCGGCTTTTCTGCTAACCCATCAAAGTTATTATGAAGAAACCAACAGTACAGTGTGAATTCGCTTGAAGGTTCTTTTTTTTCTGTAATGTAAGGGTTTGTCAGGAAAAGCTAAATGGACTTGGGTAATGCATGGGAGAGTACCTAGAAAAAGAAAAGATAAAATTTAAAAGTGAGGCTATTTATGCTTCATACTTTCACCCTCTTTCCTTACTATTCGCCCAGTTACAGGTCAGGTGGGACATCCTTCATCCCTGAAGTCTGGGTTCCCAAGGTAAGGCTTGATTCTCAACAGGCTGAATGCTTGTAGTACCTGCAGGGGAAGTGCAGCATACAACTGAAAGTACCCAGATAGCATGTACTTACATAGGGACAGAAGTTAGAATAAAAAAGTTTCTTCCATTAGGTAACAGTCAAAATGAGCAGACCCTTGGGAGGGAGCTACTCATACTTAAGGAGTGGAAGAAAAGGCAGGAAAGAGAAAAGGAAAGAAAAGTCTTCAGGAGGAGAAAACCAGACTAGTGGAGAGTACTGAAAACTAACGCATTGTATATGTGGCTGGTTTTGTCCAGGCAGCAAGCTAGGCAGTGGACATGATTAAATTAATTAATTCTCCCATTTGATTCTCATAATGACCTTTAACAGGTAGTATTAATAATTTCATTTTGCAGATGAGGAAGATGAGGCTGAAATTCTTGACCACGAAAGTTGGTCCTAGATTTGCAGAGGAGCCTAATAATGTCAAATGTTGCAGAGAAGGTGAAGGAAGGAAGCAGATGAGAAAAGGCGAGTGGGCCAGATGAACAGGCATTCACAGGGACCTTCCAGGGAACTGGGTAGCACAGCATTTGCAAAGAGCTAGGGAAGCAGAGAGCAAAGTATCTGAAAAAAATGTGAGGGTGGAAGGAAGCAAAAGCCTGACAGGGTAACAGTTTTATAGGAATAGTGCTGTTCTCTTATTAAAATAATTTTTTAAAAAAGTGGGAGAGGGCCACTTCTGATTTGCATGCATTTTATATAAATCTGCATAGCAATTTCCTGACCCTAAGGGATCAGGCGAGGTTGCAAGAAGCAGATAATTTCAAGGGTGTCTTAAAAGTGTTTACTGTTCTCAATTCACTCCAGCCTTCCATGGAAGTGGCTCTTATTGCTGTCATTTTCACAGTATAAGAGCAGAGCAGTCAACTTCAGAAATCTGATTGAAAATCATGTTCATAAACCTTTATACACTGAGTGCTTTTCTCTGTGTGTTTCGAGGCCTGGAAATGTGCCCTTGGTCTAGTATTTGGGTCTATGCTGCCACGCTGCAGTACTGAGGTCAGGCACACGCTCTGGTGTGAAGAAACAGTCCAAATAATTTACTTCTTCAGATGGTATTTTTTCCTTGAAGATATTCAAGTCTCAAATGCTTGTAAATTGAATCTTTTAATAGGGAAAAGGAGGTGAGCAAATTGTTAATATTAATAATTTATGTCTTTCAAATGATCTTTTGAAGCATGCATATAATTTGTGAACATTAACTTACAAACCATCCTTTCTGGAATGAATTGTGATAATTACAGTAATTGCAACAATTATTATAATAATAACAATCTTCTCTCTAGATAGAGCACTACAAATGAAAGAACAACATCAGATAAAATGAGGGGGCTCTGCCCTGACCAGCAAAAAAGGCAAGTGGAATTATCTCTTGGGTTCTCATTAAGTAACATGTCATCTAAGTTCTTAGCTTGGCATCTTCTGCTTTCTAAGATCGCAATAACTGCTAAGTGGGTCTGAAATGGTTCCCATAAATCAGCGTGTGTGACAGAGGCATGCAGCATGCTAGATGGTGTAGATAATCACCCCTGTGTAGTGACTTAATGAGGCTGGCAATGTCTCTCCACCTAAAATCTCTTGCCAACTAATGTGCCACTGCACCTGAAATTCCTCTGTGGTTGTTTCTGATTTTGGCCTTTTGATTAAGTCCTAATTTCTAATCAGTATTCATATTTTCAAATTCAAGTATCCCCTCCACGTTCTTGTTAACCCACCAAGGCAATTTATTATTAATACACTTACAGTATAGTGTGAATTACTTTGAAGGCCTTCCTTTCTGTGATGTAAGGGTTTGTCATGAAATGCTAAATGGATTTAGATAATGCATGGGGAGATTTTCTTACAAAAAGAAGAGACAAGATTTAAAGTGAGGCTGTTTATGCTTTATAATTTCACCCTCTTTCTTTACTATCATCCAGCTGCAGGTCAGTCAGCAAAGCCTTCATACTTAAAATCTGGGTTCCCAAGGAAATAACTCAATTACAATTTGCTCTTGAAGATGTCAAGATAAATACTGCAACCTACATGTTCATCTCTGACCATCCCTACTAAACCACCACTCTCTTTTCCTCTCCATGTATCACCCATTTTATTTACTTCCCTTGAACTTTCTTCCATGTTAACATTTTATAAAGATGGGGAAAGATTTACCCAGGGAAACTCTTGCAGGAACAGCTCTTCGGTCAATCCAAAATGAAACCCACGAAAGCATCACCATCAATATGGCTGGGAAATAGGTTTGCAGCACAAAGAAGAACATATGCCTCCTTAGCACAAAGTTGATGAACAGCCTATTGTACCAACCTATGGAAAAAAGCCAAAGTGTTCATTAGAGCGAGCTTCCTCTTGGAAACACTGCACTTAGTGAATGACCTGCTTCTTGAGACTCCAAGCTTTTGGGGACACGGAACACGATATCCTCATCTCCATGTTCGGGCCTGGCACTCCATCAGTGTTTGTTAAACGAGCTGAACTACAGTCTGCTTAATTATGTGACTCAAAGGTCCCTTCTAACTTCCACACCTACAGTTCAGGGATGAATAGTGGTTATATTTTGGGATGGCCTCTAAAGACCTTTCTCCACAATATGCTGTGTTGTGACATTTCTGCAAGAAGGAAAGTCCTCAATACACGACTAACGATGGCATAAAAGAGCCAACAGACCATTTATTAGCTATAACAAATGAAAAGAAACATTTATCTGAATGACAAGATTCGCAGTAGGTAGTAGGTCATTAGATTTTGACCTGGGATGGAGAAAGCTAGGGATTCAAATGGAAAAGAAAACGGAATCCATACACTAGTTTTATAATTTTAAAGTCTCATGAATACCATAATTTGTGTATGACAAATCTACAAAACAGTAACCAAATGATGATGCTTCTTTGCATCTTATTTAAATTACATAAACTCATTTTGGTAATATTAATTGTGCCAATTAAAAGCACCATTTGTGGTCACATCCACACACATATTTTGTTCAGGTTTACCTCTCCCATTGACTACTAGGAAGTTTAAAGTCAAAGTTTCAGACATCTGCAGGACTTCTCTGAGCACCATTCTTTAATGACCACATACCGGGTTATATGTAATACCCTATCCTGGTTTTTCCTTTTTTTTCCTAATACATTTCTAATTTATATCACCTTGCTTTATTTCACAATAACTGTGTGCCAATCTTGTTAAATCTTTACTAAAATAAGGCAATGAATGAGGAAACATGAAAATACATCTTTTATGAATGGGTAGCAGGATTATTTTTTCTGTGATAAATGCTGTTTACTTTCAGATAACATTATTCAAAACACAGGGACTATAGGCCAAAAGTTATAAAAGAAAAATCACAGGTATTGCAGAGTTGGAAAATCCTTCTACTGGTCTCAGCAATAATTTCTTAGAAACCTAAGATGGCAAACCTATTAGATGGATCACGTTAAGTACTTAGGCATTTGGCCTAAGAAATACATCTGGCCAACCCACACTGAACTGGCAGACTCTACTTCTAGAACCCTATTCTCAGTTAAATGCTCATTATGTTTCTTTTCCTTACCTGGTTCCAAGCTTCTCTCTGTCAGTTGATAGATGCTTCAGGAATACCAAACAATTTTATTACCAGGAGTAATAAAAGATACATCACATAGTACATTATAAAGTTAAAATGTAAATTGTTTTTCAAGCTTCTCATTGTCCTGTATCACCTACGTCACAGCCCCAGCTCATTACTGTGTACAATTGAGAGTTTCAGTAATGGCTGCAGAGCACAGCAACAGCTATCTGACCTTACTGCTTCATATAATTATTGTGAGGTCAAAATAAGGAAAACCTGCGAAAGCAATTCAAAAGGAAGACAGTATTCATGTATATGGTTTTCTATTCATTATTAACTTGAAACAAAATTAGTTGTCTACATCCTTTATTCATAATTTTCTGAAAACCAGTTGTCCTTTTTTTTTTTTTTTGGTGGGGTGGAGTAACCAGGAAGTAAAACTGCCGCTCTGCCTTGTGGTTCTAGACTAGGGGTGGTATTTTAGTTGAACCTGCAGGTCATGGGGAATCCATTTCTCTATCAGGAAAGGTGGTGCTTTCTTGGAAAGACAAGAAGCCTTCATTTTGGGTAGTACAAGAAAGAGTCTGATTCTATTTTTGATGTTCAACTGTTAAAAGCTCTCAAGCCCAACTTCTCTTGCTGCTCTGCATCTAAACAAGCTAATAAAAAGCCTAGGTCTCTCTTTTTTGGCACCAGTGAGAAGTTCAAAGCATGCATCCTGTCCTACAACAGGCAGTCTTCACCCTCGCTGCACCCACTAGGCTACCACAAAAACCCAAGCCAGTAGCCCCTGCCGGTTCTCTGAAGCCATTTCAGACCTGCTTGCGAGCCCGACCATCTCTCTAGAAACCCTCATTATGTGAGTAATAAATCACTTTATGCCCATTTGTCATGTGCATGGCACCATCAGTTTTTGCATCTGAACTACATTTTGGATGGGGGCGGGTACATCTGCCTCCATCAGCCTGCCATACAGTAGAAAGAAGAGGAATTAATAAAAGAGAGAAAAGGGCTAGAGAGTTGGTAGCAAGGGAAATGGAGGACTGGGCCAGTAACTGGGGAGTGAGTCCCAAGACAAGAATAAAGAAGGTTTTTATACCTAGAGATAGTCACCTTCAATGGCCCTTTGAAACTAGGCCTTTAGCACTGAAGTGTCCTTTGGGAAAAAAAAAAAAAAAAGAAACTAGGCCTTAATACAAAGGATCGAGACAATGTGGATGAAAATAGGGTGACGATGACAGCTACTAACTAATATTTATTGAGCATCTACTATATGGCAGACAACATTCTAAGGTACTTAATTATATGACATCATGTAACCTCACAACCCTATGATGTAGAGAGTATTATGAAACCCACTTAAAGATGAGAAGGTAGAGGGTTAGAGATTAAGCAACTTGTCCAAGGCCACATTGCTAATAAATGATAGAGACAGGGTTTGAACTTAGGCGGTCTCTTTTTTTTTTTTCTCTCTCTTTTTCTTTTCTTTGGTTCCCTGGTCTCTTTATAGTACTTCACACATTCAGCCACTAGACTATGCTATGATAAAGAATAACTATTCAATGCATCCCTTGGGGGCAGAAGTCATTTCTTTTTTCCTAGTAAATTTATAGTGCATGATTTTGAGAAAGAGATCAGGAGGCAGAATCCCTCACCTGCTTGTTAATATTGCCAGGTCATGGTGATTTTTGAACAGAGGCAATGGCAGTGGTGAAGACCAAGAAAATGAAAAAGCAAAGACCCTGTTGTTCAGCTATAAAATGGAAACTAAGGTCCTATAACTGTATTTCTGCCTCGTATAGCCAGAGTCAGGTGTATAGTTTTTCCATAAAGCTGATTTGGGAGTGGTGGTTGTGGCTGGTACTTGTAAAAACAGGAGTGAAAAAAAATCAAAAATAATTTTTGAGGAAGCTAAAATACTTCAACAGGAAACCAGTCTGAAAAAGACACTTGAGTTTGACTGTCAGAACATTAATGATTCATGGATGATGTGAGGCAGAACCATCACATGCTCACGAATTAAAATAAGTTTCTAAATGCAATCTTTCCGAAACCTAACTAAGGGATAGTTAAATAAACCCAGATACGATTATTAATTTGATATTTGAATACAACTTCTAAAATGCTTCCCTTCTGCATTTTTCCTATTCTCAGAGCCCATTTAAATCTCTGTCATAAAAAAAGAGTATACTGTAACAATTAAAAAATACAAGTGTTGAAAATCTCCCCAATTTGTACCTACTTCTCAGAGGTATCTATTGTTAATCTTTCTAGGCTTTTAACACACACACACACACACACGATACGCACACATATGTATATAAACACTCATAAATATGTATAAATACTTTCTTCAGTGATAAGTATGGGAATTTAAAATGTATTCTTCTGTAACTTGCTTTAAAAAAAAAGGTAACGTATTATGGATAACTCTCCATCTCATGCTACACAAAGCATGTACATTTGAACCTAATTATATGTATTTTTTCATTTTCTAAGGAACCAAAATGCTATTTCTTAAAAATATAACTACATTTGAATGTTACGGATTTGTAAGTTCATTTTAAAATGTAAGCATTTTTGTAAGCGACAAGTTTTTCAATGCCAATATTGTGTCTGGCTTTGGAGAGATTCTAAAACATGACCAGAAAAAGATAAAAATCAACTCGTGTTGGACCTGCCTGGTAGAGCTCAAAAAGTCTGACAAGCACAAATAAGATTATAGGAGAGCAAATGGAATGACTTAGTGGTAAAGTTAGAATTTTCAAGTAAAATTTAACTTCTTGTTAAGAAAATGATTGTATATAGTTAATAGACAACTGTGCTCCAAAAGCTAAAGAAATGTCATTGTTATTATTGTATATTTTGTATATGTTCTGTGCAGGAGACAATTCTTTTGGATTTCTATGCTTCATATATAGTACATTATATTAGCATTAAACATTGCAAATATCTATTTATAATGTATCACATGCCAAAGTTATTTCATCATAGCAATAGTAAAATTTTAAAAATCCTGTAAATTATACTTCACATATAACATGGTTGTTCATTGCATACATTCTATTTAAATATTAATTTAATTTAGCATTAATGAAGAACATTAAAAGTCCTGATAAATATATGCTTATATTTATTCATATAGAGAAAGGCAAAGTGAGAAACGGAGGAGAAGGAGGAGGATCAGAAAAATATACGAAAATAATAATACAGTTTATCTCTATGAGGTAGGATTACAAAGAGATTTTCCTTTAAATTTTTCTGAGGTCTCCTCAAATTGTCTAACATCTTTTCATTCATTCAATAATTAGCCTTTGAGCATGTACCATGGGCCAGGGACATATCACTGATCAAAAGAAATAAATATGTGTTACTTATATAATCAAAAAAGGCAATAAACATGATTAAAATTGATAGCATCATTTGCTGAATCCCAAGCAATGTAGACAAATAATGGGGTAAAACAGAATTTCTTCTGGGTCTAAACAGCTAAATAGCTGCTGCTCCTAGAGAATCATTTAACTTCTCTGCAATGTAAACTTCGACTTCTCTCTTAAAGATGCAGGTTTTTAGACAAAAATTTGATAACTACTCTCCAAGATCTAAGAACAGAGTGGAGAATCTTTGAGGAGAAAAGGAACCACCATCAAGGCAGAGGAGGTAAAAGCATTCTAGCCAGGACAGCTCTGAAACTCAAGGACGGCTGTTGGTACACTTTCCAGCTGGTCTAAGCATGGCTTCATTGAATCTGAAATGGCATTTTATATGGATTTGCCCTAAAATGACCCAGTTCATTACTATCCAGCAGGGGAATGAAAGTGGAGGGTGAGGAGGGTCGAGGGGAACAGAAGGCTGCTTCCAGCTTCAGTCAATGGGGATCAGAAATAACTTTAAAAGGTGTCTTGGATAAAACTTGTCAATTCAGAAATACATCTGTCATAGTAAAGAGTGCTTTATAGGCCCAATTTTGAATGGGTTTTTTGTTTGGGGCAACAATGCACTTTATGGATGGATTCATTCAGCTGGTTTTTATTGAGCATCTATCATGTGCCAAGCACGTTCCAGGTGCTGCAGAAGAAATGGTGAGCAAGGCAGACAGATTCCCCACCCCTGTCCTGGTGAGGCACTCAGACAACACAGCAGTCAAATGAATGCATACTTCAGGTGATGGTAGGTGCTGTGATCATGGAGGCGGGGAACAGTGAGAAAGGAATCCTGTTTTACACAGGGTTGGTTTGGTTAGGAAAGCACTGTTTGAGAAGCTATTTGAACAGAGCACTGACTGAAGTGGGGAAGCTGGTCATGAGAATATTGGGGGAAAGTTTTCCAGGCAGAGGGAAGAGATGGCCAGGCAGAGATCCTGCTGATGGAATGAGGTGGTCAAGCAAGAAGACCTGTGTCAGGAGGGTAGCAGGTGGTGAGGGGCAGGGTGAGTGGGTGAGTCCCACGTTAGGCAGGAGGCTGATCACGTTGAGAAACTTCAATTTTGTTGTAAATGTGATGGAAAGACACTGGAAAGTTTAGAGCAGGAAAGAATTCTGAACTTCATGTTCCAAAGAGATTACTCAGTCTGCTGTATTGAGACTGGAGGAGTCAAGGATGGAAGAAAGGCATCTTGTTAGAGGTGGTTGCATGGCGGGGGTTGGGGGTGGGGAGATAAATGAGGTGTGGAAAGGTGGAGGTCGCTCCCTGTGAAGGACAGGAATGATGGTCTTGGCCAAAGGGACACCCGCTTGGATTCCAGTCTTTTCACAGGTTATGGTGCTTTGTAAACAGTAGATGTCCAATAAATGCTGATGAATCACCCATGTAAAATGCTGTACCTGTGCTGCTATAGAAAGCTAATCCACTAGATGCACTGAACTCTTCAATGAAGAACTGAGAAAGGGAAATATGATCTTCAGTATTTAAGGACTTGTTTCCGTGTTTCCAATACAGCATTAGGTCGTCCTCATTGTAGGCATCTAAAACATGAAAATCCTTGTAAGTGGAGTAAGTTCTTGTAAGCTCGATGAGTTCTATAGCCATGTTTTATGTGGCTCCATGTCCCTAGTGCCTAGTCCAATGACATGTAACATATCAGGTGACAAAAATATGATTGCCAATGAACTGATCATACACACACTTTTAGGAAGAGGGAAAAGAATCTCTAAAAGTTAGACCCTGATGACTAGTATAGTGTGGATCTTGTGCCCACACAATGAACTAAAACTCCCCAGATGGCTGCTCCCATATTTGTGTGCATTCTCTTAGAGTATTAAGCCAGGCCTCAGAGTGACACCATAGCATCCCCTCACTGTCACAGGCCTGACTCCAGCCTGTTAGTCCCTCTTTGTTTTTTGTTTCCTTGGATGAAATTCCAAAATGGGCCAATCTTACAAGAAATTTTCTAAAGTCAAATAGTGGTACAAAAAGTTTCTAACGGATTTGGGGCGGAGCATTTGTGGACTAGACATCTGTTGAGATTCCCAGCATTTTAGACACATTTTCAAAAACTGCAGTCAGCTTTTAAGATCTTGTATCAAAAATAGCTGATGGGTAAAAGTGATTGACAGCTCAGAACCCTGTGATGGGTTTTGATAAAGGGTGTCTATGTCTAGAGCTAGATTTTTCTACGGAATCCAAGTCTACCTAATGAAGGATTGTGATTCATCTGGGAACATTAATTCCAGAGCTTTCCAAATGTGAAAAGTCTGTGTCAATCTATGTAACATTAGCAAGAATAGACCTTTTTAGGGAGCTGTTCCTTTATTGTGGAAGCTGCAGAATACACAATTATCAAAATACTTTCCCCCCGAATCTTCTTTAACAGACAAACTGCCATCACAACCTTCACAAAAAACAGAAACCAAAAAACCCCCCACAAAAAACAAAAAAAAACCCACAACTGTTTTGATTTTGGATAAATATATCAAGATTTTAAAATGCTTGTTAAGAGCATGCTTATTTACATGTAAATATGTGATGATGTGTTCAAATGATGTACTCACTCCACCAGGAAGTGAGACTTACAGCTTTCCAGTTCAAGAGAACAATTTTGAGTGTCAAGAGGAAACCTGCTGAAATCCATAAAGCACATGGCAGAAACCGTTATCCTACAAAAAGAACGAGAAAAAGAACACTGCAGATCATTTCACCATCTGGCCAAATGAGCATGCAACACTGAAACTTTCTTATTGTTTGCCTGTTCTGTGTACCTTTCAAGAATAATCCAAAACGGGTGGTATTACCTTCTGTCCAAACAATATGCAAGGAAGCAAACTCTAGAGGGCAGATGATTTGTTTAAGCCACAGATTCAATGAATGAATTCAGCTCTCATACCTGCTTCTGAGCTCATCATTTCCTGATCAGCCCCCTCTGTATTTTCTGGCTCTGATGTCTCTAGAAAAACACACTTTAAAGTGAGAAGACTTTTAAATAGATTTGAATATTTTTTGCTTTCTGGAAGATTCCCATATAAATAGCCTATAGTAACAAAGGGTTGGGATGGTGGCAATAAAAACCTGTAGGTAAAGGTTTCCTTTACAAAAAAGTTTACCTGAGGAAACCCTCTTTCCAGTAGTGAGTGAAAAGCCTGGAGCACTCTTAGTTATAGATCTATGTGTACAATGCATAATTCAGGTGCTATTAAGCCAAAAGGCTTGCATACCGATAAGAACTGTTTTTTCAAATTTTATATCCTCCTAGATTTTCCTGGCTTCAGGCAGAGGCTGCTGTACTATGATCTTGCCTCAATGTAGATATTTTGGAACCCACAACAGCAGATCAAAGGTTCATAAAAGGCCCCTGAGCAGGTTTGCAAAAAACAAAGGCAACAGATGTTCCTACGTGTGGTGCCCTTGAGTTAATCAGAGGAGCAGGACCATTTCATCTTCTGGGGACTAATTCTACTGTCAATAGTCATGCAACAAAACATCAAGCCAAGGATTACTTTGTGTCACAAAACATATTCGTTTTGGTGTATTCCTAGTACTTTAAACCTAGAAGGGACCCTCTGAGGTGTTTCAGTCCACTTCCTTCATAGTACATGTGAATGAATTAATGACCAAAGAGGCTAGGAGGCTAGGTGGTGTCAGAACCAATTCCAGAACCAGGGGATCTGGCTCTGGGCTTGGACTGGCTCTGCTGTTGGCTGGAAGAGCTGTGCTGACAAAAATTTTGAGTTCCTCCTGTGTTAGAGGATCTCCAACACCACTCTCAGGGTCAGTGATTCACTAGAAGGACTTGCAGAACCTAGCAAAGCTGTTGTAGTCTTGGCTACCTATATAATAATGGAAAGACACAGATGAAAACCAACAGTAGAAAAGGAGCACAGGGCAGAGTCCAGCAGAGACCAGGAACACATTTCCAGTTGTCCTCTCCTAATGGAGTTATATGGATGGTGCTTAATTCTCTCAGCAATGATATGTGACAACACCCTTGGGACATCACCAACCAAGGAAGCTCACCCAAGCCTTGATATCCATGCTTTTAATTGAGAGCAGCCACATAGTACTGACTGCCAACCCACATGGCTGACCTTAGTCTCCAGCCCTTCCAGAGGTCAAGCTGATATCCAGTGGCTCAAAGCCTCCACTAAAAATCACATTGTTAGCAGAAACTATCGGGCTCAGTCCCCAGCCCCCAAGTAAACAAAGATACTCTCATCAGTTAGGATATTCCAAGGGGTTAGAGGTTACCCCACAGGAGCCTGGCAATGGCCAAATATTTTCTGGAAAGTGCAGGGTAAGAAAAATCGACTGAGTTAATTCATTACTCCCCCCACCAAAATTAATTTAAAATGGGTGATTCTTTGTCCAGATAGTGCCGTTCTGCTCCTGATTCCTACTGAGGCTTGACTCCAGTACCTATGAGTCCTATGCTACTCCTGATTTAAAAGTCCTATTGAGGCCAGGCATGGTGGCTCACACCTGTAACCCCAGCACTTTGGGAGGCCGAGGTGGACAGATCACTTGAGGTCGGGAGTTCGAGACCAGCCTGGCCAACATGGTGAAATCTCGTCTCTACTAAAAATGTAAAAATTAGCTGGGCATGGTGGTGGATGCCTGTAATCTCAGCTACTCAGGGGAGGCTGAGGCAGGAGAATCACTTGAACCCAGAAGGCAGAGGCTGCAGTGAGCTGAGACTGTGTCACTGTACCCCAGCCTGGATGACACAGTGAGACCCTGTTCTTCCCTACCACACCCCCCCGAAAAAAAAAAACATTGAAAGTGATATTTTCCTTTAATTGCATTTAAAAAAAAATTGACAGCACATATACAATGCCTGGCAACAGCTCTGAGCTGAGGTGTTTTAACGAGCAAAAAGAATCTACATAAGATTCCTATTGCTGCTATAACAAATTACTACATATTTGGTAGTTTAATACAATAGAAATTTATTCTCTCACAGATCTGGAGGCCAGAACTCTGAAATCAGTATCATGGGGCTGAAATTGAAGTGTCATAAAGGCCCTTCTCTTAGCAGCTCTGGGGGAAAATCCATGTGTCCTATGGCTTCTGGTGGCTGCCAGCATTTTTTGGCTTACATTGTCTTCCCTTTTTCTGTATGCATGAAATTTTCCTCTGCCTTTCTATTATAAGAATACTTAAGACTGCATTTAAGTCCTACCTAGAAAATCCAGGATAACTTCTAGCCTATTTCAAGATCCTTAACTTAATCACATCTGCAAGGATCCTTTTCTTTCTCTCCTTCCTTCCTTTCCTTTTTTTTTTTTTTTTTTTTTTTTTTTTTTTTTTTGATAAGCTTCACAGTTTCCAGAAGTTAGGTCAGGGATATCTATCATTTGTTCAGCCTACTTTAGAATGTTTCTAAGGTTAGAGGACATTAAAAAAAGCTGAGTTGCTTGGGTTTACCAAACATTTATAGTAATTACCTGTGATAACCCACTCAACATGCACAGGACTCGTGACTAAAAGAAAATACGGAACATTTAAAAGGAGGAGCTGTTACAGCAAAGTGTTGGAACGCACATTTTAAATTAAAAGCAAAGTAAAAGAAAGCAAATTGGTATTAGCTTGAATGATAGCTGTGATTTCCCATGAAAAATAAAGGAGACAATTAAGAAAAATTGTATAACTAATCCAAAGTTCCAAAACTGCTTGGTGGGGTGCAGCATTCACATGGAGTTGGTGAGGAGGAAAAGCAGGCTTGTTTGCCTATAAAATTGTGTGCCAGATTTTAGGATTTCCATAATTCAGCTTCACTATCTGTCCAACCAACGTATACCCAGAGTGGTTATAGTCAGAACAGCAAATCATTTTTATTTTAATCTGGATGTTAGAACTGGGGAAAATCACATCATATGCTTGTGTCCCAATCTCTAGAAACATTAGACAGCAACATTGTGAGTTTCACCTGAAGTGAGAGTCATCAGTTTTGGTTCAGACAGTGGCAGTACAGGAAGGCCAAAGGCAATAGGCAGCTCTCCTTACCTGAGACTCAGGAGGACGTTTCCATCAGGGTGTACACGCAGCATGATATTCTCCATAGTTGTATCATGGATGAAGGATCTTTTAGAGTGGACAAAAAAGATATCAGGCACCCAGATCTTTCGGATCAATCTATGATCAAATGTCATGCTTTTGTTTACTGCACTAGGAAAGGAGAGCCTCTCGTCTTTCCAGTAATGCCTGAGATAAAAAGTCATTGTGAAGTCCTAGACAGAGAGAAGAAGAGACCAATCAAAACCAGTAGGAATATGGTTCAGGATGACCACTCAACACTGTTAGTCCCAGGACTCATTCTCATGGGTGTTAATGACTTACAAGTGAATGGCTAACACTGTAGGTTCAGGTAGATCTAGGATGAAGCTAAGGAGGTTATGCCTTCCGCTTCTCTTTCACATGAACTCTGGTGAATGTTGAGAATTTCTGGGAGCTATAATAGAATATTCAAGTTGCGGAAAGGGAACCAGGTTATAAATGGGCAGCATTTCTGTGCAAGCATTCCGGTAAATCGTCTAAAGAGATCTCAGAAGAAAGGAACCTGAAACTTTACTATTTTACTGTCCATTATTTTATCGTCATTCCTTTTTTCATTATAAATAAATATTCACTTTTAAAATTGATTTTTGTATTGATGCTCATGTTCCTTTTGTTAAAGAAGTTTTCCCAAATCGAATAAACTATAGTCCCACAAAAATGTGGATCAAGTGTTTATTAGAGCTACTCATGTAAAGCAAGCTGACAGAAGTCCTGGGACAGAATCAGGAATTGTCCTCAGCTTGAGAGACAGAAAGCATATTGTAAAATGGTGGTTCTCCAAGTTTAGTGTGCAAAGAATAATTTTTGAAGTTTGTAGAAATGGCACATTTCCCAGAAGCTAGTTCCCAGAGATTCTGATTCAGTATGGCTCAGGGATTTGAATTGTTAATGTTTATTCTTATATTGTAAGAATGTATTGATGAGAGGAAAAAACTGGACTAGCATTACAGTAGAAAAAAAGTTTATTCAGTTAATAATATGAGTTTTGTGTGGCTCTTAGACGTTCCAAATATTTGGTTGTTTGAATAGAAACTCCCCTAGCTTCATCCAAATTGTTGTCTGTTGGACAACCACAATAACTTCTTACTATTTCACAACTGCTTACTTCTATTTTTTATTTTCCAATGATAATCAAATTTTTCTCGAACTAGTGCATATGCTAGGACTTTGGCATTTATTATACAAAGGATACATTTCAGTAAACTCTGAATGAGTCACCAATTAATTATGAGCTAGTTTGTTCTAGGTTCGGAATAGAGCTATATTGATTTACGGCTCTGGGTTAATCAGGGAACATTAGCCATGCGTAATTTTGGATTAGGGTGAGGGCAAATAAACAGAATGATTCATTCGTTAACATAATACAGGGACTTGTGTGGGTTACTGCATAGAGTGCCTTAATAAGCATATACTTAGTATTAGATGCTTGGTCTGATCTGAAGGTCACTAGGCAAACATCGGAGTTTATGGAGTCAAATAGCAGACGTGGGTGCGTGTTTGTGATACAGCAAGTCATTACTTGCCGGCACTATCAATCACCAGGAGCAAGCCGAACAGCATTCTGGAAGGCGAATGAGAGAAAACTTAGACGGATCGAAAGTGAAGTTAGGGTGGACAAGAGAGAGCAGAAACATGATAAATGAGAAGCAAAACCAACCAACCAAACATACACTAGGGAAAAAGGGTGAGTCACTGACAATGAGAAAGCATTTTCACACTGGGCATGTGAATCCAGTCCAGTTTTATCTGTTACAGACTAGCAAAGCTAACCTTATTCAGGGAGTAAAGATGATATCCAGTTTTGGGTGCTGCTGGTTAGAGACAATAAGGATTTTAGATGCAAACGGGGTCGTTCAGAAATGACTTCAATAAGATGCCAGGACAGGGGAAATTAAAGCTTGTTCTCAGAGCACAACAGGCTTGGTGGAAGTACCAGCAGGGGCTGACTTTGGGTAGGAAAGGATCAGAATCTTATAAACCAGTCTTCTTTGAGTAGTGAGTCCTACGAGTGATATTCCCTTCTGGTGTAGAGTGGCAAAACGAATGTTTAAGACCTATGTTGAATTGAAATAAACATTGAATTAGATAATGAGAAGGACTAGGCAGACCATTAGCTGAGAGTTCACAGACTGAAACAAGGTGTAATGGGTCACAGAAGATTGTGCTTAGACCTTTTAGAACTTTTATGTGTCCTACACTTCTTTCAGTTAGTGATTTGGAGGAATCGCTAAAAATTAAAATATGAATTAAGGATACAGATGAAAAGATGATTTGATTTTAGTGACTGATGTTTTCTAGGCCCTGCTCCGTTAGCAGATCCGTGTTTGTTCACTTTCTGTCTCTCTCATTTTATCTTTAATTGTGGTATTTGCATTATTACAAAAATAATACATAGAATCTAAATTTTAAAATGTAACACTCTGAAAATTACTATATTTGCTACAATTTATGTATCAACAATACTTATTCCAAAGCATATATAAAAGCTTTTGAAAGGTTTCTAAGAATACACATGTAAAATATTCTAGAAAATGGAATGAAATTCAAGGATTCATATACAGAAAAATAGCCAGCAAATGAGTAGATTGCATGAACAACAAACTAAATCTTTTCAGATGGAAAATGAAGTTTGAAAAGAAAATAACTTCTCCCAATTAATGGAAGAGGTACTCTGTTGGTTTTATTAGAAAAACAAACAGAAAGGCAGACTGCCATCTTTAAAGTAGAAAGCAGAGGATAATAAGCATCCGGATAAGAGTTGCAATTTCTAATGACTCCAAGGACCAAGTGGCAACTTTAGTCAAAGAAGCAGGCTGAATCGAGAGAAGAAAAGCAAGCACGGCTTCCAGGACAACCTGGAGGGGACAGGCCCTATCTAAAGACACTCAAACATTGATTTTTCTCCTTTTTTTTTTGAGACAGTCTCACTTTGTCACCCAGGCTGAAGTGCAGGGGTGCAATCTTGGTTCACTATAACCTCCAGCTCCCAGGTTCACGCAATTTTCCTGCCTGGCCTACTGAGTAGCTGGAACTACAGGCATGTGCCACCATGCCCAGCTAATTGTTGTATTTTTAGTAGAAACAGGGTTTCACCATGTTGGTCAGGCTGGTCTTGAACTCCTGACCTCAAATGATCTGCCCGCCGTGGCCTCCCAAGGTGCTGGGAAAACAGGCGTGCGCCACTGCTCCTGGCCCAAACATTAAATTGTTTAATACTTTTGGCAGAATGGAGAAAAAAAACCTAAAATTTAAACCAAATCCAAAACTGAAACCAAACCAAAACATATTCATAAGCTGCATCTTACTAGTAGGTTCCAGTTAGGGCCTTTGTCATTAACACGTGAAGGTGGTGTAGTATTGACAGAGAACAAAAGAGGTGGATCTAAAGAAGATGATGGAGAAGACAGCAGATGAGGAGAATTAAATGAGATGGAAAAAGCAATTTAAATATAAGGACACATAGCCATTAGGTAAGAACAAGTGATAAAGTTTGAATGTTTGTTCCTTCCAAATCTTGTGTTGAAATTTGACCCCCAGTGTTGGAGATGGGGCTTGATGGGAGGTGTATTAGTTCATTTTCACACTGCTATAAAGAACTACCTGAGACTCAGTAATTAATAAAGAAAAGAGGTTTAATTGACTCACAGTTCTCCATGGCTGGGGAAGCCTCAGGAAACTTACAATCACGGTGGAAAGCAAAGTGGAAGCAAGCACCTTCTTCACAAGCAGCCAGAGATAGAGAGACAGAACACGTGCAGGGGAAACTGTTACTTGTAAACCATCAGATCTCATAAGAACTCTCTTACTATCACAAGAACAGCATGGGGGAAACCGCCCCCATGATGCAATCACCTCCCACAAGGTCCCTCCCTCAACATGTCAACATGAGATTTGGGTGGGGACACAGACTGAAACCATATCAGGAGGTATTTGGCTCTTGGGGACAGATCCTTCAGGAATAGCTTGGAGCCATCTTCTTAGTAATGAATAAGTTCTCAATTATTTCCCACGACAGTCCCCTTTCTTCCTCACCCTGCCACTAGGAGCTGGTTGTTGAAAGAACCTAGTATCTCTCCCACCCCCATTCCTCCTCTTGCCATGTGATGCCTACTCCTATTCACCTTCCACCATGAGTAGAAGCTTCCTGAGGCCCTCACCAGGAGCAGATGGTAGTGATATGCTTCTTGTACAGCCTGCAGAACCAGGAGCCAAGCAAACCTCTTTTCTTTATAAACTACCCAGCCTCAGGTATTCCTTTATAGTAACACAGACTAAGACAAAAAGGACACGGATGTTGAAATTTTGAAGCGAAAAAGAAACTCTTTATTTGGGATAGAAAAACAAACTGAAGGGGGCTCAACCAAACTCTGAAACTACATTAACAAATTAACGGAACAAGAGTAAGTAAAAAGGAAATACATCTGAAAATAGATATGTAGGTGCTTGGATATATGAGCTAGCCATGGTATTAACTATTCTTTCTTAGAGCAAAAAACTTGAAAAACCTAAAATCACTTGGCTCTGATAATTATGTAAACAAGGAAGGTGGTATTAAACTGGGAAGAGAAAATGAGATGGAAAATTACAGTTGATAATATTAAAACATAAAAACAGCTAAAGTGGTTAAGGGATGGGAAGAAGAAACAAAAAAGCAAGGCATGCACTGTGTCATAAAAAACAGAAACAGCTAACAGGAGGGTTGAAGATAAGGGATCAGTTTCAAGTTTATGGATATTTCATTGAACAAAATACTCCTCTATGAAAATACAGATGTTTCATTGCAAAATTAAATAATGTCAGTCTCTTAGATTTCTGGAAAAATATAAGGAAACAGACAAAATTTTAATTAAATTTTTAGTCCCATGAATAATCCTTTGTCCTTTGCTGCTGGTTGTCTTCAGATAAGCAAAATTAATATCATTTGACATATGTGAAAGCAGTCTGTCAATGTTGGTTCAACTGTTTGTTGTTTTATGGGTAAGGACTCATGATTGGGATTTTGTATCGCACATACAGTATGGTCATCCTTCTTTTTAGACAATTATTCTCAATTCTTGCTACACAGGTAAATATATCATGATGTTCTACAGTGTTCCACCACTGGAAAACCATTAGAAGGAAAATAGAAGAGTCAATAAGGAAAGTGAATTATAATCGAGGGTAGAATGAAGTGGATAGAAGACAGCACAGCAATCACGACTCTATTATTAAGCAAAGTAGGGGACATAAATAACATACATAATTTAAATGATATATTAAAACACTAGTGATTTTGACACTGCTGAGAACAACAATATCCCATGAAGAAACTTACCATGTTAGTCTCTGAAATGCTGTCAATGCTTTCAACATGGACATCTATACCTACTGGCACTGGGGACCCTTCAGAAAGAAGAATGGGTAATATGCTGAGAAATGCATTATAATTATTTTAAAACCATTCAAAATAAAAAAGATTAATGCTCTTGGACAGCAAATGAATTAAAGTTTTTTTAAACAACACATTTCTCCATTATTTATTGAATCAGTTATTATATACTCAATTAGTATAACAAAGGCACTTGTGTAAATAAAAGGAATTCCAATAATCATTACTCATTTGCTTGGGAATATGTCAATATTTTCCTTCTATAGTATAAAAGTGGTGTCTCCAGTTTTTTTAAAAAAAAAATTTTATTCTTTTTAGCTACTAATGATTTAAAAAGGAAAACAATTCTGAAAACACATCTAACAGTATGTAGAATTAGGTATTCTACATGGTAATGGTCATATCTTACAGTCAGGGAGTGTCATAGAATCCTTGACACTGGGCAATTTAGGAACCTTTTCTCTGCTGTCAAAAAAAATCAGCCTTTTCCATTCGTGCCGTGGTTGGTGGAGTAGAGGAACACAGGGGAAATTTTATTGAGATTGAAAGTGCAGTGCTACACAGGGACACCACAGATCAGCTTCGGAAATGCCCCTTTGCAGATCAGCCGCAACCACAGGCTGCATTTGGGAAGAACATACGGACTCAGAATTGGAGCAATTTCAGACAGAGAGCTGCTGACACTCGTACAGGTGACTCGCCCAGAATCAGGTTCATGGGCCCAGAAAACCTGAATGACCAGCCAAGAGAATCCAGACTAGACTGATGCTTCCTAGTTACACCTAACAAATGATTTCATCACTTCCAGTGCAAGATGAAACTGGTAACATCAACATTCAGTTTTGCAATGGGAATTTTATGTACTTATGTGTTAAAATAATTCCTATATTTATATAGGCAGTCTTTCATATGTTCTCTTTCCATATAAGCCATTCTCAATTAAACCTTATTGTCTATATAGTCCTTTGTTTAAAAAAATGCTTTCAATTATGATTGAGAAAATATAAATCCTGCCTAAATGGATCCAGGCTGGTTGTTTTAATCAAGATTCAAAGATTTAGGCTGGGCATGGTGGCTCACGTCTGTTATCCCAGCACTTTGGGAGGCTGAGGTGGGCAGGTTACTTGAGGCCAGGAGTTCAAGACCAGCTGACCAACATTGGTGAAAGCCCATCTCTACTAAAAATACAAAAATTTAGCCTGGTATGGTGGTGTGTACCTGTAATCGCAGCTACTCGGAAGGCTGAGGCACAAGAATCGCTTGAATGCAGGAGGCAGAGGCTGCAGTGAGCCGAGATTGTGCCACTGCACTCCAGCCTAGGTGACAAAGCTTCCTTACTGAGGCTGTGGATAGGTAACGCCTGGATATGGTGCATGGGACAGGTACCCATATAATTCAACAGCCCTTTACATGCATAATACAATATCCATTTAGAAACCCAAGGTATGTCTTGCCAGTCCTTATACCTTTTCTGTAATTCCCCCAGTAATTAACTGATATCACCTTCACTTTATTAACAAATTCCCTTTTTGGGTTCCTCAAGTCCATGCCCTCAACGTCATTTTTTTTTTTTTTTTTTTTAACTTTGAAGGGTTTCGATTGGCCAGGCACAGAGCTGACATGCAAATATATTCCTGCCTCAGGTTTCTGGCATACCTCAGTTGCATCTTTTCTTTTTTTTTTTTGGGGGGGTTGCTTCGAACTTTATTTGAGAAAAACAGAAGATAAACGTATCAAAAGAACACACAGGTGGGGGGGCATGGCCAGTGGAGGTGGCACGGGTGGGCATCTGGGCTAAGGCTTTTACTTGGCTGCAGACTGGTCGGGTTTCGCAGCTTCTGGGCCCCCAAGCTGGGCCCGCGACTCGAAGGTGACGGGGATGGTGATCTCGTTGGACTCCGTGGCTGGCTTGGGCATGGGAGCCTCCACGGTCAGTGTGCCCTCAGGGGACAGGGAGGAGGAGACCTGGGTGGGGTCCACACCAGGGGGCAGCGTGTATTTCCGGGTGAAGCAGCGGGAGACGAATCCGTGCTCATCCTGCCGCTCCTCGTGCTTGCCTTTGGGGAGAGGAAAATCAGAATGAGGGGGAGGGGACCGACTCTCGGCCCCGCCAGGCCAAAGGCCCCACCTCCAGCTTGGAGGCAGCCAGGACTGCAGGCTGGCAGGGATAAACAGAGGGGGCTGGGAGTGGGGGCGTGCCCGCCTGTCCAGGCTCTCAGAAACTTCCGGAAAGTTCGAGTAGGAGTTTTGGGAGAAATGGAGCAGGGTGCCGAGGGCCTCAGTTGCATGTTAACTACTATCTTCCTCCTGCCATGTTGGATCAATTACTATATATCTTATAGCACTAATTTTGACATTTTTTTTTTGAGACAAAGTTTCACTCTGTTGCCCAGACTGGAGAGTAGCGGCACGATCTTGGCTCACTGCAACCTCTGCCTCCTGGGTTCCAGCGATTCTTGTGCCTCAGCCTCCCAAGTAGCTGGGATTAGGGGCATGTGCCACCATGCACAGCTAATTTTGCATTTTTAGTAGAGACAGTGTTTCACCATGTTGGCCAAGCTGGTCTCAAACTCCTGACCTCAGGTGACCTGCCTGCCTTGGACTCCCAAAGTGCTGGGATTACAGGCATGAGCCACTGCACCTGACCGAGTTATGACAATTCTTAAATAATGTTTAACGGTAATTTTGATTAAGCATTAACTTGGGAACAGCTCACTCTTATTCCTTCATAGGGTTCTGCTCTGCTGCTTTTTATGTGGATGTGCCTTTTTTCTTGAATTAGTAAAATAATCAAAATAACAATTCACGAAAATTTCTTTGTCATGGCTCTACCTGGTATTTCATATTGGGTAAATCTTCCCAATCATTCCAGAACTCCAAGGGAATAAGAAATTTGGAAAGGAGTGACAGAATGTCCTGAATGAAGTTCTTGCATTAAAGTCGCATAGGCTGGGTTTGACACCAGTCCCACAAACGTGAGGTAGAGGAGAGTAAGTACCTCTCTAAGCTCAGTCTACCTGATCTCTAACATTTGTCTAGTAACACCTTGGAGACTCGTTTGAGGACGAGACAAAATACAATTACTGAACCTAGTTGGTAGTCAGCAAATGGCATAACATAAACGTTAACGGTGCTGCAATTAAGCAAAAATATAAAGCTGTCCCTTAGGACTGCAAGCCAGTACTCCCAATCCTACGTACATTTAGATGATCAGTCCAATCTTCTGTTTAAAAAAGGAAAAGAAAAAGATACAGTGCTTCTCATCACTTACTGAAAAAAAAAAAAAAAGCAGAGCGCAACCTGCAGTTAGTGCCCCCGACTTGTAAGTAGATCCGAGCGGCTGACGACCGTGTGCACGCCTGGGGACGGACAGGTGCCCTCCAGTGACACCTGTGCCACCGCTGCCCGGGTGCCGGGCCCGAGGGCGGCCGGGGGCTGATCTAGACGGGGTTAAACGCAGCGGGTTACGCGGAGCGGGCTTCCGGAAGTGCCTGCGGTGTCTGCCTTCGTCCTCCGGATTCAACCGTTTCTGGTGAGGGGGAGCTCTCCCGTGTGCACGGAAAATGTGCGCCCGGGTGCTGTCTGGCCTCATTTCCTTCTTTTGAGACGGGGTCTCCCTCAGGCTGGAGGCAGCTCCCGCCTTCCGGGGCCAGGCGACGGCTGACGTCAGCCTCGGGGCAGCCGGGGTCACAGGCCTGCGCCGCCACGCGGGAAAGAGAGGGAGAGTGTGTGTGTGTGTGTGTGTGTGTGTGTGTGGTGTGTGTGTGGTGTGTGTGTGGTGTGTGTGTGTGGTGTGTGTGTGTGGT